ATATCTAATCATTAGCTATATTATAATATAACAATATAATTTATGAATATATGTAATGGAGCAATTCATATTAAATAATAATTTAATACCTGAATATAAAATATGTATTCATAAAACTATAAGAATATAAAACAAAATACATTATATTAATATTAAAACATTTATTTTATTTTGAAATTTAAATGCAAATATTATATAGGTACAATAAAGTAATGTTGTTAATTGTTTTAGTAAATTCAATTTAGTGTATTATGATTTATGAAACTACATATGATACAGTTTAGTTCTTAGTTTACTCGTATATTATGTGTAGTATACTATGTTTTATACTATACTAGTTGTTATTTTATTACACGTAATTTATGTAGTAAAAAATTTAAACAGGCTAACCAAAACTTAATTTATAATAAGTTTTACACAAGAAATATCATACAGTTATAAAATTAACCTAAAACTATTTATTTATCTTTATTAACGAATGAAGCTCTATAGTCGATACAAAAATTAAATACATATTATTATTTAATTTATGAATACAAATACAACACATAAGTATATGTAGAAATTGTTTTCAATATTTATTTGAAAATATACACTATGTAAAGATATTTTTACAATAAGCATATGTGATGCAAGGTATATATTATATACTTATTTGTACATAAAAGATTTGATTTAAATAATCTCTCCAACAGTAACACTTTTGATATGAATGATTTTATGTCTTAGACTTATTTAATTATTTATTTTTTATTTTTTTATTTTGTTAGAAGGTCTGTAAGCCATTTTTTCTTTATTCTTCTCAGTGAATTTCTTGGAATGTTGGTAAAGTCAAGGGCATTGATCAAAGAGTTTGAATGGTTTGCCAGGCGAGGATGAAAAAGGTTGTAAAACTATATTGCTACCTTTGAGATTGTTTGAATACTTACATCTGAGTGAAGTGTGTAGTTTATTACAAATAAAGGCGCGTTTGTAATTATACTTGTATGTAATATTATTGATTGGAAAGTTTGAAATTTATTTGTATTTGTTTTCTTAACATCACTCTACAATCGGATGTCATAAGACCAAATTGGTTTTAGTAAAGTTGTATTATATGGTAGTAGTTTGTTTTTAGGCTAATTTTATAATGTTTTCTAAGAGTGCGAAGATACATACGTCTGATGTTTAACAGAATCCGTTTAGCTCAGTGTATGCTCTGCTTACGTTAGTTGTTTGTCTAGCGTCGACCCTAAATACTGGTTATTACTTGTTAGAAGTTGAAGGAATGATTTAATTGTTTAGAAGTACTGGGGAACTATATTTTATTTAACACTAAAAGTGATTTTCGAAGACTTTTTATTTTTTATCCAGTATACCACAATTCTATCTCATTTAAGTGGTTTTGTAAATATTGTGAAGTAGTTTGCAAGATATTATATGAAGTAAAAAATAATTTTGTTGTTTGTAAATTCGACGACAGTGGGAGGGGGGCAGATGGTGAGTTTGTCCGCAGTGTATGTATTGTATTGGACAAAAGGATGGAAGATGAAATTATACCTTGGGGGACACCAGCTAAGATAAGAGATATGTTTGAGATGTCCGAGCCTACCTTTATAACGAAATTACGATTTTCCATGTGACTTGAAAAATAAAAATAAGGAGGAGAAAAAAGTTCTTTTAGTTTCAATAAAAAGCCGGAGTGCTATACCTTGTTGAATATACTTGGACAACGTCTAATAAAACAGTATAGTATTTTTTTTTCAAATGCACAAGCCAAAAGAGACGGTTATACAATGTACTTGGTATATGATAGGGTTTGACTTGGGTGTAAGGAATTATTTTTTTGTTGTTCATTATTTATGAAATACGCTTAAAAATTAGTTTTTTAAGTTGATTTTGATAAAGAAAGTTAATAAATTTATTGGATGGTAGGCAGGGCTTGCAAACGTTATGATTATAACGTTATACTTGACAAAAAAACGATTGAGATTTGTAACGTAATTATAACGGAAAACGATAAATATAAATAATTAAATAACACAAAACAAAACATAACGATTAACAAAATATATGATATATCATAAAACAAAACATAACGCACAACGTTAAGTATAGTATATCATTAAATGAAATAATTAATTTACAATTATTTAATAGTTATAATTTATAAAATATATTAAACATTTTAATTTACATACCTAACAATATTGCTGAATATTGTTACTTTTTAATGCCGATATTGCTTTCTTTAAATGTAATCTAATGAGATCACGGAAAATTCATAGTGATAATACACTATTTTTTTATTTATTTTAATAGTTAAATGGATCCTCAAAAATATTTTATCAATAATAATAGATATTATATTAGATAATGATTTTTGTGAATTAGCTACAAAAATGGCGTTATAAATCAATTATACCTACACCAGAAATTAGTTTTGAGTATGCAAAGAAAATTTTATTTCAATAAAATTCAAATTGTTGATATACTAAAGGATTAATAGATACCTTTAAAGCAAGCATCTGCATCAAATTCAACATTTAGAAGGCAAAGGTATACGCAATACAATTTCAAACAAAGTGCACTACAAAAATGTGTGATTGCAGAAATATTTGCATTTTATGTAATGCCATAACAGTTTGTCATGTTGGAATAAGTAGTTTCAAATTTTTTTTTTTTAAACAGTAACGTTCGTAAGGTAAAATTATCATAGTTTAAATTATTAATACAAATACAACATTGTTTAATAATGATAATTTACGTTTATTTATGTTGTATTTTGTATATTGTTTATAGTTTATACTATATATGCTGTGTATGTCAATATTGTGTTGTGTGTGTCAAAATTGACCAAAATCCTATTGTAAATATCAATATTCTAAGTAAATATCTTCAATTTTTAATTGCTCACATTACCATTTTAGGATGTGTATATCGACATCCACTAGGTGATTATCAGAATTCATCAAAGTCATAAACTGTGGATATTCACATTAAAAATTACATTTTTTATTCAATTGCGCAGTTAAATTTTCTATTATGTAAGTATAACATTATTACGAAAAGCTTTAAAAATAATTTATAATTACGTTATTTGATTAAATTTTTTATTATTTATAAAATTAACTTTTATAGATTTTTGAAAAAGCTTTTATTATTATTATTTTGTTATTTTTAATAGCTCAGTATTATTTTTAAAATCGCTTTACACGTTTTAAAAGAACAAAATGATTTAATGGAAAATGTCAAGTATAATTTACGTTTGTTTACCAACATAAAATTATTATATTAGAAATATGCATGATATATTTATACATAAGATGTATTAATAAGGATATATTAAATACATTGTTAGATTATACATAAAGATACAATGCAATAAACACATATAATTTAGAATAAATAAAAATCTACTATTCCATTGAATATTAGATAAATTGCTAGTGTAGCTTCAGCCTATAGTTATAATGACTGAAAAAATACGGTGCTTTACACTTAAAAAATATCATGATTTCGTTAAATCATTCAAATTTACATCCCAGATTATTACAATAAAACATTTTTATGAACCTAATGGCCAATAATTATTTATAAATGTGAGTTAAAAACATTTATTTAAATTATTTAAATTAAGTGCAAATAACTCTATATTTACTTTTGATCTACTTGATTATGTAAAATTAATTTATAAGTTATAATATAAATTTATTATTTATGAAAATTAGATTAGTTTAAACAAGATTTTAAAAATAAAATAACTTATGTCTCAAATTATTAAAAAGCCAGAAAACTTTTTAAAAATAATAAACGGATAACTTAATTACCTAATTTAAACTTTAAGTATGTAAAATTCAAAAACAACAGTGTAAAGTTTTCATTGATACTTAGGTATGCAAAATGTTTAAGTATCAAATATATCATACAATATCTTATTTCAATGTAAACGATGATTGTCTTAAAAAAATCACTGTCTTAAATTGTACGTTTTATAATTTTGTATAACGTTTAAAAGACCGGTAATAACAATAGTAGAGTCGAATATCATTCATTATATTTTATAACTTTATATTATATAATATAACGAGTTTAATATATTATTTACATTTCCAGAAGTTTTACATAGAAAAATATGATTTTATTTAAATATATACTGTTTAAATAACACTACGGACAATTTGTGTGATTTAGATTTTTTTATTTGAGACAAATCCCGCGTTTCCAAAATTGAATACAATGTAACTATATTTTAAAATGAATTGACACTTACATTTTAATAATATAATATATTTGCTTTTTTTATCACGTTTTCATAATATTAGTATTTTCAAATATTTAAGATATGTTTTCCTAATCTTATTCCTATTTTTTTTTTTTTTTTTTTTTTATTAATTTTTAAATTATAAAATTTATGATTTGACTAATTCAGCCATTAGAATTAAATTTGTATATATTATATTTAATAATCATAAAAAAAAAGTTTCAAATTAAATATAAATATATACTTATTATAATATTTTTGTACATGGAAATTGTTGGCTAGGTATATTAAATTAAGTATTTTGATTATTTAAAAGAATTTTAATGTTAATTTCATTTTCATAATAAGATGGTTTATATTAAGTTCCTGCTTTTATTTTTAGTACTTTCTGCATTCCTCGATGAAGATGATTATGAGCATTTTAATATTATCTTAAGGAGTATATATATTATATATATATATATATACATATATATGATTATGCGTTATATTTTCCTCTGATCACTTAAATTTTTATGATATATTTTGATATTGCTTATTTTTCAGTTAAAAGTAATAATATCAGGTATAATCCTTATTCTGTGCATTTCGTAAAATTCCACTTAAAGTAATACTACATAAATTAATGCTTTATTATTTCCGAAGCGTATTCCAACAAATAATATATAAAACATAGTGATGTATATTACAATATACACATAGTATTATGTGCAATCAGTAATTTCTGTAAAATACTTTGATGTTTAATTTTACTTACCAGCTAATGTGTGCAAAGACGATGCGATTAGAGTCTTCTGATCTTTGTAGAAGTGTCCACTGAACGAAAAAACACATCCAGCCAACATAAGGCACAGGCTGATGCTGACTAATGGAGTGCACCACCTGTTGAAAAATTAAGAGTAAAAAAATCATATCAATTGTATAAAATAATTTAAATTATTATTATAATACTAATATATAATATATATATGTTACAAGCAATGTATACATTGTCCGACGATTTTGGGTAATATATTATTAAAAATACTATTTTTGCCATGCAGAGTTGTACTTTGACCGGTCCAAGTTACTTTTCCCGTGGTAAATTGGGCATAGTAACTTAAGCTATCAACAAAACTTTCCATTTTAATATATTTTTTTTTTTTTATTTTTTTTTTTATTTGTTAAACTGTTAAAAAAGAGTAGATGTAGTTAATTTAGTACGTATTATATTTTTTGAACTTATACGCAATTTTATATTTATATTTTATAAAGTAATTGGTATAAGAGTGGTGAGGCAATGTTTGGATGAAGTGCAAAAATTGGATTAAAATGAGCGATACATCCAATATAAATAATTAATAAATTAAAAACTAAAGAAGATTTAGAAGCGGCTATAATATCTATAAATACTGGAAAGCGTTGTGAAATTGATGAAAGATTGATTGAAAGAAAATAGAAAATAGAATAAATAAAATAAATGATGTAAGAACAGAGTCAATTGTAAATTTAATAACTCAAGCGATTCAGTGCCCAACCTAGACTGAGCAATTCTATACAGCCCGGGTAAAGTATAATTTTGCCAACATTGGCTGATAGTCTACTTAACCTGTAACATAAATACATATATATATATATATATAATATATATATATATATTCTTACTAAATAATTTACTATAAATCTATAAAAAAAAAAGTTCTTAGTTGGAAAAATTTTTTACCACTACTGGATAATCATAAAAGAGTAAAAAAAATGTCAATCATTTGAAAATATATGATTTTTAAGTATATTTAAATATTTCAAAAACAGAAGAATTTCAATAAAATCATTATTTTTTATGATTAGTGAATCACCAACATATCTATGACTTTTATACTTTTACACATTGATTTTTACCCATCATCATTATAGATAGTGCAATCAATGAATGAAAATAATAAAATGCTTGGTAAAACTGTAAAAACTGTAGAATATATATTATATATCGTTATTATTCGTTGCCTTGTTCTATTTGTATTTTGTTTAAATATTTTCATGAATGTTCACGAATATTTTAAAATTGGCACAAATTCAATTAATTAATATATAGTAAGGTCATAAAACTAAATCACCATCAGCGTTTTAAAGTTTTAAACGCCAGGTTGTTGAGAATACCCAGCGATACTAGAACTTTATAGGCACACTGGTTTATGGTATTTGTTTATTATTATTTTTCAAATCAGTGTTTTTCTGACATTAATTGGCACTTTATGTATTGCTTAAATTTTGTAGTTACTGATTTTGCTATAAATGAATTATAGTGGAATTCCCAGTCTTTCTGATAATTATTTTCGGAGTATTGTGTGCAAGTTACAAATGAAACAATCGAATCGTTCAACCAACGATATATATATTTATATGTTTTTACTGTATGTTTGTGTATTATATAGAAAATAAAGGAAAGTTTCATCAACACGGTCGATTTGAAACAAATATTATACGCGACAACAGTTTCGAAAATCGAATTTCGTCGTCATTGTTTTTGATTCCAAATACCAAGTATTTACTATATATTATATAATTGCATATATATATATAGTTAGTTTTTAATTTACTTTGATAATCTGAACGTGGAGTAGTATTTTATTTTAAAAATTGACATCGTATGAAGTTGTGACAAACCCAATATTTATATTTCCAGACTAAATATTAAAATAATAAATATATATGAATAGTTGAATGATTAATTAATACAGTTGGTTGACGTAATTTTGTTAGCTATAACTCAACGTGACTGCAAGACCGAGTTAATTAACGATTTAATCGAAACTTCATGTTATACACACATTAAACGAATGCAGTCGCTTAATACATTTATTACATTTAAAACATTTAATTGTAAATAATACGTCTTGGTAACTTTGTAGACGTGTGTAATATATTAATATACCTGCAATACGTTAAGTGACTAATGTGCCAATGTTAAATGACGTGATGAGCAAAAAAAAAAAAAACAACTTATTTTACTTGAATAATATTTTAAATATTATATTGCCACGTTATGCATCACATATATTTATTTAGATACTTATTGAACTTTTAGGGTATTTTTGTTTAAACAATAATTTTTAAAATATATAAAAATATTGAATACGTAAATTGGTGATTCATTAGTATACTTATAATTTTTTTATAGTTTCATATTTTATAATTTTATACTTAATATATGTATCATAAGTTGGGTCAGTACAATGCAGTGAAAGCATTATTTGAAGGAAGATGACGGCCGAAAATATTTCTTTTTATATAGAGTTTATACGAAAGTTAGTTCTAAATAAAGATTGAATATTTATTATTACATTTCAATAATAATACACTATTATTTGCTATAAAACAAGACTAATTGAATGAATTAGCTACTTTATAATTGATAAATTACCGAGAAAAACCTCGAAAATTAGGCCTTGTTTTATAAATGAATACATTTAAAAAATGTTGAATACATTACATAAAATATACAATTTTATTGAGTAATGATAAGTACTACTATATATATATATATATATAAAAAGAACATCGATCTCTTAGAGTGGTTTGGGAATATTCATTTTATTGATAAATTCTAATATAATCGTTAAAAATGATAAATTTATTAGAAACTGGAAACTATTGTATAGAAAAAAATACAAAAATATTTTAAATTTTTGATACAATGTTAAACGGACGTCAAATTTATTCATGACTCATTATTAAAACCTATAGTGACACTTTGCAACAGCAAATTAAATTAAAAATATTTTTTCACATTTATAAAATTATTGTTTATAACATTGACTATATTTAATATTTTTTTTTAGTAGACAGAAAATCTATTTCATGTATCAAGTGGCATAAAATAATTAAAAAAATTGTGTGTATACCTCAGAGTTACAATTTGAAATTAGTTTTTATAAAATACTATTAGTTATTATACTCAATAAAAAAAGTTTCCAAAAAGATTAAATTGTTTATGGACTATGCACATATGTAATGACTTTAATCTATGATTATAATATTATACTTATCAATATAATTTTTATTGGAAATTTGTAGTTTGCAATGTTTCACATTCATGTGATACTTACCGACGGTCAATAGATTATTTCCGCAATAAATGATAAATTTCGAAATATAACTTCAAATGGTTATACATTTGAAACAAAGTCTGAGTAACATTTTTAATTGTAATAAATAAGTTTAAATATATTTTTTAATTTTCCGAGAGACTTGGTAAAGTAAACTTTTAACTTGGAATTATCACATGTATGTGCATATTTAGTAATACAATTAAAATTATGGTGTACAGTGTGACGATTGACAAAAGGGTTGAGCAAGTGACGCAGGTGCTGTATATATTATTATTGATAATTGATATGAATTAAAAGTATTTATTATAATCAATATGGTGTTACATTTGCGAACCACGCAAATGGAAGGTGTACACGATGTAATTATAATATCATTTTGTCATATTGTAATATGTGACCTATACAAAATTATTATTATTTAAATTATTCATCCACTTCTATAAAACGATTATATTGGTATTATTTAGAAATCGTTCAGTTTAAATATTATAATATACATGATATGCTTGAATAAATTTCGACAAATTTAGAATAGCGTAACATCCAAGTTAAGCCTTGGTGAAACAGTTGCACTGTATGATGATACTTGGAATATTGTATAAATTTAATATTTAGTAGGTACCTATTGCTGTGGATTATAGTAATTTTGCTTATTGTATTTACATATTATAATGTGTAAAGAGAAGCTTGTAAAATCCAAAATAAATCTAATCGTCTGTTTAATTTTAGTGGGTTTATAATATAAAATACAATTTAATAAGTGTATAATTTAAGTAAAAAAAACTTTAAAAGTATATCTATCATAACCTATAATTGTGTAATGAAATTTTGAGTATAAACAGTATATATACTAAATTGTTACAGTCTATTATATGACAACATCGTCAAATAGCCATTGTTATGATACAATACATTAAGTGTTATAGAACATTCAACATTTGTATAAGATTTCAAACCTTACAATACCTACACATAGTATTTTCTCAACTTAATTTCCTCAAATCAGTAATCACGTTTAATTATTCTTAAACATGTTTCAACATGACGTATACATCATTTAAGCAACTTGGTATCAGTAACTTATATTATATTCAGTAAAAGTGTGTTAGGTGCTAAAAAAAAAAATTATGACAGAATTTTCTAATATCTTATATTTTTTCATTAGTGCCGGCAACAAACTTTTAGTCGACCAATGTCTTAAATGTGGTCCGTGTCCCATTTTCAAATAAAAATAAAAAATAGTTATTTTTAAAATAATGTTTAAATTTTTTTTTTTTTTTTTTTCAATAATTTGAAAATACTTTTAAATTTATAATAGTGATAATAAACTAGGTAGACAAGTGGATAGCGTTCTCCTGTATATTAAGTGTCTAGTAGCCGGTAGGTCACTTTTATGAGCGTATTCAATTTAAATTTAATAATATATTGTTGTATACAAAATACGATTTTTTTATTAGTCTATATCACTAAGTGATATATTTTTTGTATAGAGCTATAAATATAAAAGTGATTTATTTAATTTTTAGTGCTAAGGTAAGTTAATAGAATTTGTTTCAAAAATATTGCATTTATAACATTATTTATGTTTAATTATCATGATAATATATATTTATTACTTTTTTTTTTGGTCTTAAATCTTTTGATTAGTTGACCGCAACTCTTCAAACTTAAAGCAATTCATGCTGCAGATTCTAGGGAAAATTTTATGTAGTGGTTTCCCGTTTCCTTCCACATCGTAGTCTTATAGTCATCAAAATGACTGTCATTTCCGCTTACGGATTTCTGGTGTATGTA